TTCCAGCAGACCACTGTATCGACGTCTTTGCCACATAATACATTTGGCGTCTTGAAAACGTAAGTTCAGTCTTTTAATTTGTGTATGTCTGCAATGAAGCTATCATGCTAACTAATCACTTCTCTTACCGGACAAACTTATATGGGCAGAAACTAGACCCATGGCCGGCCTGGCCGTGGCGGCTTCCGTGGTCACAGTGGCCGCGACGGCTACCACAGCAACGGGAACAGAAATGCGCCAGAATCCGACCAGGCACCGAAAAAGACAATCGGGAGAGCACCGGAAACGTCTACCAGGAGAAAGAGGACCGCGGCGGAAGCAAGGTTTCTTGGGGTAGGAGCTGAACTGGACGCACTGTCACAGCAGCACCAAGAGACGGTTCGTGACGACCAATGAGACAAGTGTCGTCATTTGAGTACTAACTAGTGTTGTCAGTACTCTCGCCTACACCGGGAGAAGGCCATCCCTCGGTCGCTCGCGACTGATCCGGAAGAGCGGCGTCTGGGTTCCCACTTGAGGGTCCTACAAGAGCCATCTGGACAGAAAGTGGTGTCCACGAAAAGAGAAGATAGGCATCACATCTTGGAAACTACGCGACCAAGCGAACTCAATTGGATCGCGCCTGGTGATACCATTGGCCACCCCAAATCGGCAAACTCTTTTGTATCGAAGATCACGCTGGACACTGGTGTCATCACGGCTCTCGGAAACACCATGGTCAAGAGTGGTGCGGAAATTGGTGCCAGCTGCATCAACGTCTACTGGGAATACGAAGTTGGCGGAATCAAGCACAACAGGGCTTTGACTTCGTTTGCCCCCATGGGGAAAACAGTCCCTCCCCCAGCCCGGAAACTCTCATCTTCGGCGGAAACACCTCGACACCACCGCCGCCCCTACCTCCTCCGGCGATTTCCCGGGAACCTACTCGGCCCCAGCCACCCACTGGGCCTCGGCGACACAGTGGGCATCAGCAACCCGGGGGTCTTGCCCCTCGCGGCCCGGAATACCAACGGGACGGAAACGATGGTCGGCCAATCAAACGGCACAAGTTTATCTGTGGGAGATGTGAAGATGGTAGAAACGACGGACACACAGTGCCTCATTGCCCCCACCCAAACAAGCTTCACGGGGATGTTGACAGTCGTCCTTTTTGCAATGTCAACATCCACAGCATGGAGGACTGTCCGGTGACGCCATTGGCGGGTCCAGACTCTGCCCGAGTGGCTGTCAAGACTCTGATTGACAATCGGGCGAACAAACCCCCTCTCAGGGCATCCGGTCACCTGCTCTGGACAAGGGTTTTCGACCTCTGGGTCAGTCAGAAGGGTTTATCGGAAGGCACAGATGTTCAGGGACTACTCTCGTGGACAAAAGCATTTGGTCGCAAGGTGGCTGACACTCGGTATCACCAGGGAGAAACCTGCCTCGGCGGGATGTTCCCACAGGAGTTCAAAGGTAGCAAACCAAACAACCGTTTGCCCAAGGACCCCTTCTGGGACGGAAAGACTGTTGGTGATGTTCGGAAGATGATCCGGGAAAGCCAGCTCATTCAGGAAGGTTATCACACTCTGAACGGGCTTTACTATGCTGATATGAATGTTGACAGCGCCGCGCACCCTTCTCGTGTACGGGAAAGCAGTCCTGTCTATATCAAAGCAGAGCATATCAAACGAGAACCTGGTACGTGACCTCCTCGGTGTTGGTCACACTTCGCATTTCCTGAGGTTGTCCCTGTGATTGTTTCGCTGGGACTGTACTTGTCCGTGACGATGCCCGGTCCGTGGCTATTCCGCAGCTTTTAGGGCCTTGTCCACAGGAATCATTACTGTGGCACCGACAGCGCTGTCAAGCTTTGTAAGCTTTGTTTCATACGCTGGAAGTATTGTTACCACGTAGATGTTGTTCGGTGATGGAATGGGACTTTATTGTCCCTCAATGATGCATCGGGAGTGTCGGGATTGTTGGGAATGGAGCACATGATTAGGGTCGGAATGGGGATGACATGGTGGACTTTCAATGGGAGTTGGGCATTTCCTAGGTGGGGGTTTAGGTAGGAATATAAACCCCGTGCTCCCAATGGCTCCTGATGCGTGCGATATTAACTTGTGACCCTTGTGACTGTGTGTTTCCGTTTCTCCATAGGTACCAGGCCATCCCGGGTTTGGGCTTTACCTCTCGCTCATAACTTCCCCGATGTGACGTTCAACGCTGTGATGTCATCTTCCATTGTGGGCAACGTTGCAGCAGCTCCACAAATTGGGGTGCTGAAAGACCCAGGCAGAACGGAACTACTCAGGGTGAGAGCGGACTGTTTGCATTGTACGGAGTAGACGTCTCCTATCCCCACTTCATGGGCTTCCGCGTTGTGGACCGTCTGGGGGAGAGTGGATCTGGTCCCGACTTCTCACCTCCCCTTGGCTGCAGGGCAAAGCACCACCCGGCCCGGGTGGGAGGTGGGGACTCATCGAGCAAAATGGCAACTTAATCCCCCCTGGTTGATTCCCCTGACTAGTTGAACTGGCGATTGTCTCTGTGAGGCCGCACTACTTGCCCCTAGCAACAGCTGCATTCTAGATAACCGAGCAATAAGACTGTAGACCTCCGTGCTTCAACAGTGACACTATGGAGAGGATGGAAAGTTAGAATATGAGGAGCAAATTTAACGGCCTTTGAACACGTCAAACAGAGCGCGGAAGAAGCGAACCTTCAAACTGAAAAGTAAGCAGATACCCTGGAAGTAGTGGTGCCGAAGGAGCGAGGGGTTGCCCTGCTCAGCAGTGATAGGGGCGTCGGGGGGGACTCACAACAACGTTTTGTAGCTGTTTGAGCTCTCTTTCCTTCTCCGCTAGCTGGGTCTCTAGCACCCGCTTGTCCTTGTTCCACCTTTTCCACGTCGCTCTATGTTCGGGGTTTCCGTCACTCTTATACGTGGCAGGAGGGCGCTGTTTCAAATGCTTGATGAGATGATCATGGAGTGTTTCGATTTCGACCTGTATTCTGCCTTCAAGGGTCTGCCAACGGAGCACTTGACGAGACGTCCTTGGTTTTCCTCGAGCTCCATCTCGAAAAGCGTTTTAGGTGGCCCCCCAGTCTTTCGGTGATGCTCATGATGTGGCGGATAATGTCGTGGGCAGACTTTTTGGTGTTGTAATGCCTGACCTAACCCGGAAAGCAAAGGCCGCAATACTAGTTGCGCGGATCGATGGGTGAATATTGGTGGCCCTCCAGGCATTCGCATCGAATAAGTTGGTCGTCGTAATCAATGTGAAGACAGGAAGGTCGAACTTCTAAGTGGTCTTCAGCCTAACTGAGTAACGTATCTCATGAATGTCAAGATTGCGTCTCACATCGCTTGGGGCGGCGAGGCGTCCCGATACTCTCCTAGTATAGGCCCGCCTCAGCCCGCTAGAATGGGTCGTGAATACTCGCATGTGGTATTGGAAGAGGACATCCTCCTTATGCGGATGTGTCAGTGCCAAAAGCGTCGAGCCGCCGATGCCCGCGCTGCCTTTGTCGTCTGAGCTGCCCCACAAGTCTCGATCCAGGTCCCGCTTGGCCTCGAATTGAGCGAGAAAGTGCCGAACCGGTCGCTGACTTGGTGAGAATTGGTTTAGGGGGCGTTGCGCCCGGTGCTGCCAGGCGCCATTTCACTCTCATCGACACAAGAGCCCAGCTGGGAGATGACGAGGGAGGAAATCACATTGTCGTGATCCCCTTGTAGCCCAATATTCCTATAGCACGCAAAAAAAAATCATCAACTTCCCCCATCATGATTTGCTGCTTAGGACTCTCAACTCTTTGCCAAAGCGCTGTTTAGCCCATGGTGGGGTTGCGATCTCGCTCTTGAAAATGTGCTCCTCGATCTCACGGCGTGTTGCATTCCCCTGCTGATGGCCCAGATTGCACAAATAACCATTGCTGTCGTAGCCAAACTCGCGGTCGCCGACGTGGCGACCGGGCCGGGGTCCGTCAGACTCCCAAAATACCCCACTCGAGAGACCTGGCTTGAGAGCATCTTTGTTCTGGAGGTTTGCCGCAGTGCCAGGCTGCCGGGTGCGATAGTCGATGGTCTTGGATCCGTCATAACAGGCCTTCCTTGGGTCAACATCGTCCATACCAGTCAGGTCGAGATCTCGACCGGGCGGAGCGTCACGGCCATGCGACATGCTCAATGATGGGCTGGGTAACAGCAAGGATGGTTGGGTTTTTCGGCGGCCATACCTGGGATTTCTCCAGGGTCGCCGGACGGCTGTGTTAATTCTGTTTGGTTCCAAATGCCAGCCCCAATCTGTGGCCTGTCGTCAAAACTCGTCTCGTCGGCGAATGGGCCTAGCGAGGAAGCCAAGCTGCAGTCCAGCGTCCTCCGCCTACATGTCGTGGGGTTTCGCCCTACTTCTCTATGTATCAGAGCGTCGGGTTCCTAGAGGTTACCGATGTCGCCGAACCTGGAGTTGCCGACTGCTGACCTGAGGCTCGCAACTTCGTTCACAAGCCTGTCAAGCAGACCGCGCGCGTGCTTGGTGACAGGCATGCAACCACATGATCGGGGAATGACCAACTCGTGCGGCAGGACAGAGCAGCGGATGGCGCATCGATAACGGGCATCGAGCGCTCGAAACCTTGAACATATCGGCGCAGGCGGTGTTAGTGGGACTTTTGTCGTAAAGCAATTTTAGACCGCCCGAACCCCTCTGCAAATACCAGCCTTGGTTGGTTGAATTGCCCATCGTAGGCAACTGCCCGCTAGTGTCAAAGATTGGCCTGGCTACCATTGATTGTGCATGACATGGGGCATCTTACTTAAATAAATGCGGTGCGCTCCTCTAGAAACGCTAGAATTTGCCGGTTCAGTCGAGATATGTGAGGGGGCGCCGTAGTGGTTTGGCAAGGTGATCACAGTTTCGCGCAAGTGGTGAGGAGGGTTGGTGGAGAGGGTGGGGAATGGTGTCTGGTGCTGCGCCGTCTTAAGGGCCTTTTCCGGAAAGTCTGCCAAACTCGATGGACTGGTGGTGTAGCGGTTTATCACCTCGTTCTTATAGAAGAGTGTCAAAGCTCTCCATATGACATGCGAAGGTCCCGGGTTCAATCCCCGGTCGGTCCATTTATTTTTGCCTTTTTTTCCCTCTCCTGAAATACGGTCTAGAACACGTCTTTGGGCCACCAAGAAGGGCTCTGTCAACTGCAAGGGGTCTGTACAAGCATGAGTTGATGCAGCGGGCTGCATTGGGGGGCATGGCGTAGATCGCGGGACTGATTGGCAACGGGTTGATGCGGCCAACCAACGCGGGGTTGAGAACCTTGACGGGCACCACAACGTTTCTGCCTTTTTTACCCTTGGGCTTCACTGGACGACCTCCCAGGTATATGAAAAAACTGCCCGAGTGGCTGCTCACGCTTTGTTTACTGCTGCTTTCTTGATCGCGAACAACGCCAATCCATTTTCTTGTCCAGCCTCGGCAACACCCCTCCCCTTCCACTTCATGTTCAACCTGCTAGGTCACCCAACGTCAGAACTAGGGGCAAAGGAAGGTGAAGATGGCGGAAAAGAACCAGCCATTGAATGATGAGATGAGCTGGGCCGCTGTAAGCTTGATAGGCAGCCCATCGGGGATGCTTAGGTGGTTCAGGCAGCGCCGTAGCGGGAGAGAGCATGCGTCATCTTGAAGACAACACCTCGACGGCGAGGCTGTGGGGATAAATGAATGCATGCACACTGAATCTGGTTCGTGCCGTCTCGAACCGCCTTGGAAGGTAGGCCAATGTCAAACAAACATGTGATACATCGTTAGGACCCCAAGAGCATTTTGTTGATGTTCTTTAGATATCGGACATTTCCCTTCCATCCAAAGAAAGGGACCATGTGAAGACCAGGTGGGAATGCTGTTTCCTGTGCTGTGACACAAGGTCTGTCAAGAGATTTCTTTTGCCGGGCTGCTGTGGGTGAACGTAGCAGGCTTCTGGTCCGGTGTGAGTACTTCAAATCAAATTCTGCGCGACCCAGCAAGAAAACGCAACAACCTCAACAAAGGGATCTCCTTCTCACAAGCGCTGCAATCCAAACACCACCAACTCGACTCTTGGAGTCAAAAAAACCACCCCTCTGCCAGGCATCATGAGCGACTATCAGAGAGCCTCTGGCGGCCCCGTCAAGCGCCAAAAGAGGTCATATCAAGAATCTGAGGATGGCCACCATCCCCAACCGAGCACATCTGAACCCATCATCATTGAAGAGACGGAATCTGAGCCGCCCCAAACCAACGGTAACACCGCAGATCGGTTCACTTGGGTCGCCCGGAATGACACCAGGCGCAAGAACATGTTCGATGGCACGTCGCCAATGGACTGCTCAGCCATCGAGGCTCTGGTCAACAAGATCATGCAAGAAGGAGAAAAGCTAGGGGCGACAGCGCTGCACTACACCATCCAATTCAGGACCCCGAGCACCGACAACGCCCGCTCCGCAATCAAACTCAAGCACTGCGCCTTCTGCGCCTCTTCTATGCATACCTTGATGAAGTGCCCAGTCCCGTCAGTACATTATGCGGATACTGCCGGCTGTCCAGTCTGCAATGTCAAATCAACCGACGACGGTGGCCATCACTTCGACAACTGTCCCCACATCAAGGACTGGAAGAGGAACAACCCGGAGGTTTATAAAGAGAACATGTGGTCGATCGTCTATCTCAGCCGCAGAAACAAGCCTCCCATTCGCAGCGTCAACCACACATGGATGCATTGGTTTGAGGTTTACGTCAAGATGAACGACATCCCGCTGAACTTGCCTGTCTACGGTGAGATGCCGTGGACCAAATTGTTTGCCCGACGTATATTGTCCCCGCGCCCTGGCGATCCGATCTTTCAGGACAAGATTCAACCTCATCGCTTCGATGTCAAGAAGCACCAGTACTACGACCTGCCTGCCGACCCGTTCTGGAAGGGTAAGATGGTGCGGGATGTGCTAGAGATGATCAATACGAAGCAGTTCCAGTCAGAGTTGTTCGCTCCTGGCAAGAGCGACAAGGTGTAGCTGGTATCTTGGGCTTTGCTGGCAATGGTGGAGGAGAGCAGAGGTCGACATTGGGAGTCAAGGGTAGCAGTAGGTGGATAATACGGACAGTCTCTCAGGCTTTGAACCCACGAGTGAATGAAATTGTGCCTCATAGTCAGCGGGTTCCTGTGTACATATTTCGTAGGCGGCAGTAAAGACCTCACAGGCCTCGGTATGTTATCACAAGGCATGCGGTATGATTGACAAGGATGTAAAATATTGGAAAAAGGTCTCTGAGTATTTTCGGGATGAAGAGGGCCTGAGGCAAGTCTTAGTACCGCATGGTTCCTTCCTTTTGGGCCTCCGTGAACAACCCTAGCGGCTGCCTCCTGTTTTCAACCACGCGCCCACGAAAACAGCGAGCTTTTCCCTCTTACCACGCACTGCACGTCAACTTCCGCGCCCATCTCACCACCACACGAAATTCAACTGCTGCGCACGTCTCGCCACCGCCCGCAAGTCGTCAAAATGGCGACGCCAAACCTGGACCGTCTGTTTTCAGACCTTCCTGCCGAAAGTGCTGCCGGCAAGAGGAACGAACTTGTTGCCGCCCTTCTCCAACCCCATGGCAAATGGGGAGGCAAGTTCAGCTCGGCGTGCGGCATCGAGATCAACGTTGAAGCGCTGACCAAGCGCTTCTGCGAGATGTTGTACGATGCAAAGCAAGCGCCCGAGAGCGTCTCGTCGGCGTACTTCAACCTCTCGATCCTCTGCTGCTTTTACCGTGGCCTCGACGCTCCCTTCCCGTTTGCTGCCGAACTCGGTGAGACCTCGAACGTCTTCTCCGGACCTGAGTCATCCCGGTACAGGTTCCACTATGTCTTTGCAAAGACTGCAGAGCGTTGGAAGATGGAAGCGGCTGCCAAGCAGATGGAGGGGCTCGGCTTGGGGGCTCCCAAGAGCGCGACAGGCACCGGCAGCCAGATGACTGGTTCATTGGCCAACGCGTGCCAGAGCCAGCTCTCTGGCCCTTCGGCCAAGACTGGGCACAGCGGTGGACCTGGCTCCAATAACTCAACAGCGCAGTGATTGCGATACCCGGCGAAGGCGACCTGGAGATTGATCATAGCGTCTGGAACAAGGCTTCGTAGGCATTGTTCCCGAAGGTGACATTTCTCATATCTCAGGTATGAGAAAGCCCCTACGATTGACACTGACCAAACAACCACAAAACAGGGAACCGCTTTGACTGTTGGGCTAGTTTGGCCCTCACCGGGATATGCATGTTCTTTGGTATGGCATATCTCTGTTCATCCCTTGTTCCTTGTTTTCTTTGTGGAAATCAAACATGCTCTTCCTAGCGGATTTGATTCATGGTCAGTTGCGTTCAAGTTTTCCCAAGTGATTCAGAAAGATCTCTACTTGTCCGAAATGTTGACTGTGTAGTAAGTGGTTACAGATTTACCCGACAGGCGCCAAGTCATTTGCCGGGCGTGAAGGGTCTTTATCCTCTGCGCTACATTCTTCTATCCGGTTTTGCCAATCGGAGATCGGGTCAACTACTGGTAAGCAAATCGAACGATAACAGCCATTTCCCCAGCCCTTCCCCGATCTCCCACCTGGCTCTAGTAGCATCAAGACTGACAAAATGGTTCTCAGCTTCCTCCTCGCGCTTGCAACACCGCCCCTCCCACGACTTCTGATCTCCCTCACCCCGATAATACCCACCACCACGACAATCATCACCGGCCTCAACATCACACTGACGCTCACCGGGACCCCTTACCTCGATCCGATGCTGACCCACGGCATCAACTCGCAAACCGTCAACTACACAACCCTCCCCGCGTTTGATTCCCTTGGTACTCTTCCTCTGACGACTTACACGTCCGATACCCATCGATTTTGGTCAACCAGCCGGCGCCCGGTCGGTGATGTTTCGATCAGCTTCACCGCTTTGCCGCTGGCTGAACTGGCCGAGGGACATGGCCTACGACGAGACAACAAGGGCCTAGTAGGAAGAGGAGATAGCTTCATTCCACGCCCGGCAGTGAACGAAGAGTGGGACTTTACAATCCGATGGGATGGGCTGCCCGAAGGTGCCAAAGGGATTTGTTCACTTGGCGACGGGGAGGTCAGGATCATTGGGAGACCCAGTCGGGTGGTAGATGAAGTAGTGTTTGCAGTTGGTTGGCAGAGATAATCCCAAGTGTTTCCAAAATCGTTTTCGTAAGCTAAGTGATGGCAAGCGGTTTGCGTGAAAATATTGGCGATGATGGTTTTCAGATCATGACAAGTAAAACGTCATGATGGCCGTGATTGGCGCCAGAGTTGCCAGGCCAGGGAGCCTCAAGATGGCGCCATGGTTCGCCTCGTTCCCCGTCGAATTTTCGCCCCTTTTCTTCCGTTCTCTCCCTCGCCCGCTACATCTCTGTTGACTCCGCCGTCAGGCTCACCACCATCGCCCTCAACCGCCTCCAGGCACACCACCTCAGCCTCAACTTTCGGTTTTTCCTCGACTCCCATCCCATATCCCCAAATATGCCCGATCACAAACACCCTCAGCAACGCTCGGTAAGCAGTCAAATTCCCCGGCTGGTGTAGATCCACCCCATCCGAGAACTTCATAAAATCGAATTTCCCTGTCTCGCCCACTCCCTCTCGGCTTCCAGTCCTTCCATAATAACCCCTGCTTCAGAGCCCTGCTACTGTTTCACAAAGGCAGTATGACCTACCTTTCGGAAGAACCCCAAGCAATCCCTCAGTCTCAAGCCCTGCTTTTGGTCGGCCCTTCTCCTTCACATGTGCATATATCAGATTACCCACCCGACGAAATCCCAACCGGTCCATCTCCCCACCTCGTCCTGCAACTCTCGGGCAACATTTGCACCCTCGGCGGCGGACACGCCGTGGTATTCCCAACCCCCCCCCCTCCAATAATTTTCTCAACTCCCTCTGACAACCTCCATCCAAGAACAGGGCACACCCACCCACCAGACCCGGCCCGGCAAACACCATCCTGCAAACCTCCCATGATTGGTCCACCCCCTGCCCCGATGCAAACATGCCCCCCTGGCGCCTCAACTCCCAGCCACGCACCGCCTATATACCCG